AGATAGTCATGTTCAGGAGGAGCCACGTTGCCGTCTCATAGCAGGCGGGCATGGTCGTTGAACCGTCATATGTCATGTAGTAGTCTGTTTCCGGAAGCAGTCCCCGGACTGAAAGCCGTTTCACTTCAACTTCTTCACCTTTTAACAAACAATAAAATCGTATCGTAAATTAAGTTTTTTTCTTATGGTGACTCAAATTAGTTATTGCAGAGTTATCATTAAGTAATAATAATTCAGTCGAACAAATGAAGTCTAGGTCGGTAAGAGTTGAGATTATTCGATTAAATTTACTTATAATAAATAATTAAAATTGTATAGAAAAAATTATAGGAAAACCATTCTTCTACTATGACCACATTCTGTTGCTTTTTCCAGTAAAAAAATAATAGTTAAGTTGCGCTTTATTTATAAACTGTATACAAAAATTACAGTTAAATTACGACATTAGTAGTCGATAAGTTTATCTGCAATTTTTTAAGATTTAAGTAGATTGAAGATATATACTAATTTTGATACTGGAATTAAAAGATCTATATCGTAGCCACAAAAATTCCACTTACAGTTAAGTTGATTGGTGATTGCTATCTTCCTCATTTTTCCTGTGTACTGTTTTTAATAAATGTATCAAATAATAGATATACAATTAGAAATCTTCACAAATGTATTTATATGAGAGAATTGTTTTGCCATGATTTGGCTCTTTCCTCAGTAAGTCCATGTTTCTATATTTCGATCTCATTTGATCTCGTCAGTGCTTCATAATGAGACTAAATCGGAATCTGGTGGTTCTGATAATTTTCTGAGAAACTTAAAATGAACGTTCTATAAATGTATGCTGAATCTTCGATTCAATTAGGCAAGTTGATACCCTGGTAAAGCCTCGTCTAACGCATAAAATACTTAATTAGCACCAAGTAATAGTCACTAGATGGCGATACAGTGCCTACACATGAATATGATATATAAGTATTATATATAAGAATGCTTGTCGTGAAACTATTTGTACCTTAACAAGGAAGGAAGAAACTGAATTTAATTTTTTTCTTCTGTCAGTTTTTCTTTTATTAATTTTATTCTATAAACATAATACAATAGTAATTTACGCATGTTTGTTACAAAAATAATTTCCCCAAATTGCGTTTTTAATTAATAGTGTCTGTTCTGAACAAGTCTATCAATCGAATTTTTTTATTCATTCGAGAATCAGTTTTTTTAAAATTTTTTTGTTCATAAGTCTACGTATATCTGTATATCCTTATCGGGTCTAAAGGCCCTTATAACAGAAGAAAAGTAATTACATTTTTAATTGACGTTTCTGATAAGTGAAACGTATAAAATTGAAAATTAAATTATTAAAAATAAGTATTAATTTATAATAAAAAGATAATAATTAAAGATGTTGATATTCTTGTAAGTCTATTTGTCAAATATTTTAGAGCAGTGCATAGCAACAGCAAAACTGTCGGAAAAAACTGCAATCGGCCCACATGGACGTAAAATCTGACAGTTGCGGAATTAAGTTTTGTTTAATTGCAATAAGGGCTGCAAATATTAAAAGCTTCATAGTAGTAATGGTAAAGTTGATGCTTTTAGAATGAAACGAAGCATTTGTTAAATTTGGTAGGTTAGATCCTTAGACCTCTATCGTATTGATAAATGGTTTAATTAATTAATTGCGCATATTTGACAATCCGTTACTAAGAGTAACAGGGGCGCATGGTTTTTAAGAACCGCCATGAAAACATCGTTGGGTGGTTAAGCAAGATTAAGACTAAGGCTGGAGATATACTTGAGACCGCCGCGTAGCGACACGTTGCGGTTTTTCCGCGAATATGTCGCTACCCTTAGACAAAATTGTAGAACAAAAACTATTTTGTTTTTCACGAGTATCTACCTTTTGAGCGTACTATATAGACACTACACTGAAATAGTAAATACTTGACTAACGAAGTGAGTAATTGAGGCTTAAGCAAATACTATACTTTATGCGTACCAGCCATTTTTTTATTGCAATATCTGTTATAAAATAATCTTTAGTTGAAAGGTGTTGCATTGATAACGTTAACAGAGCTACACTGCAGTTTGTTTGTCTATTATCAGTGCAGCCATCAGATATATGTATAATATAATTCGTATATCGCAAGTAATTTTTTTAACATTAAAGTTATTATAAAGAAATATACTATAATATAATTGATTTCGTCTTCTGCTAAAAGGTACCGTGCTATCTTTCAAGAGCTTTTTCAGGATTCAACACTTATAATGGGCATTCTTACAATCTTAGATTATCCAATATATTATGAATGACGTAAATGATATTTTATCTTTTAAAATTTCTCAGATATAAATTTCATTAAAATGTTTTTTGTTTTTAGTGATATAACTGTCATTACATCAAGCAGGTCTTCAGGATAATTATTTTTTTATAAACAATCCATCATTTTGCTGTAACTGTTACAATAGAGACAGGTATCACGATAAACACTTATTAATGTTGTTAAGTAAATATTTGACAAACAGAAAAGGACAATAATTAATTGCAAAATGACAAGAGTGTAAAACTAAAGCTCTCATATACATGGTGTTATTTTTTGCTTGTTTTAAACGTTTATTGCGCGTACAGTATAAAATACATACTGTAGGTACATTTCAAAAACATTAACTCGATTGTTAACCATGACCACTGACCAATGGTTTTAGTGAAATGTAGAAATAAATTAGTGGACGCAGCTCTGTCACTGCGCAAACCAAAATCATTGACCCATGTGATTCTAAACTACCTCTACTAGTTTAAATTGAAATGAATCTTCAGATGTGCGAGAAGCGAGTCTTATCGCAATTATATTGCACATTTGTAAAAAATTGTCGGGGTTGTTATTCTATTAACTCTAACCATACGCCTACCTGTGAAGGAATTTAGATGGAGTTCCAGGTAAACTATAAAAGGTGGCATGATATTCTAAATTACCTCTACTAACTAATATTAAATTTTTTTTTTGTCTGCTATTATTTATATAATGGTCGGTAGATTTCTTATACGAAAGAGTGAGTTGTAGTGAGTTCAACTTGATAGTTTGCAATTCTTTTCTTATCAACCAAAGCATTCATCGAAGAATTGATTTTATTGATATTGATTTTAAGAAAATTGTTTCTAAATGTGACCTTTTTATTAGTTGACACTGTATCTATACTGTTTGCTGTTATGCATGTTTTCCTATAACACTTTCAAAACAATTTTAATCCTTTTTAATGGGTAAAAACATTCAACGATGCAACTTACCTCCATATCTTATCCTGTCTAATTTATCAGTTAGTAATCTTAGTTCAGCATTTGAAAGATCTCCCAACTGTAAAAGAAATATGTACATTAGGTACAGTATACCATCATTATTTTGGAATAAAAGCGAAAATATTATGGCCAAATATTGAAAATATTTCGTTGTTACTATAAGAAAATCGAAAGGAATCCTGTGAATCTGAACCAAATGAAATATTAAATTCAAAAACGATAATAAAAACGTTATGATAACTAAGTTATCATCCTCATAGTTAGAGACACTTTCAGCATATTATTTATTCCATTTTTGTCAAATATTATATATATATATATATATATATATGTACTATTGTAATAAAGACTTACTGCATGTTTTATTATTGATTATGATTGGGTTGGTTTAAAATATGAACGTGTTGTGCAAAGGTAACAAATATTGCAAAATAAAAGAAAAAGTGCAAAACCAAAAATAACAATCCTAATAAATAACGGACAAAAACTATAAATAGTAGCAAATATTATGGTGTAGGTAATCGTAAAGGAACATGTAAAAAAAGTACCAACAGTTTTTTGTACTATTTTGTAATGTAAATATGCCGTGGCATGACAACCGCAAATGGAATAAGAAAGTTACTTGTTGTTGGATTTATTCGACTGTGAATATTGACGCAAATATGCGGTATTTATGCATTTTATGACGGTGTGTATTCTTCCGAATCGAATTAGCAATTTCCTCATAGTTTTGGAAAACGTTTTCCCACTAATTCTTGTTTAACATGGTTTATTATTTTGATTATGTTTACAAGTGAATAAATGATTAATCTGAATCAAGATAGAATGCACAAGCAGTTGTTCTGATGGAGACGCTTCTGAAAGTACTTTTTTTTAAATGTATTGGTCCTGTCAAATCATTGATCAAGAAACAAGTGTGAATCACAAACTAAAATTCATATGTTTTAATTATTGTCCAAATGTTCTTCATGATCTCAAAGTACAAACTGATCATTATTAACGAAAAATAATAAAAAAGTACCTGTAATAATAGTGATATCACCACTATTCCTTGCGCTTTGTGAAGGGCCTCCGTAAAATTGGAATACAGTTGAGAGTTGAAGCCAAAGATCTGTAACTAAAAGAAAAACATATATATTTTTGAACACTAAAAGGTGTTCGAAATGTATAAATAATTAAGATTAAGCCAGCTTGAACAAAAATAGGAATACATACAATTTTTTTAGACATCTTTTTAGAAGTGAGTTAGTTTAATATGAAATTTCATATTAAAAATAGGAATGTTTTCTATGACTTTTTGCTCAAAATGTAAGTAGTTATTGGAAAATATCATATCTATTCTGACTCCTGATCCATTATCAGATGATGAACAGGAAGCCCAAGCAATTATCAGTTGTACTTTCATGTCTCAGTTTTGTCTGTACACTTTTGTAATGTGAGCATATAAATATTTTTGACTATCCCGTTTTCGTGGCATGCAACCACATTATTACTCCATAAGTACAAAAATCCGTAATTAAATCAATTAAAGGAAACTAGCCACGAGGTCGCGATCTAATTTTGAACGTAATTTAATGGCGTAATCAAAATTAACCAACCAACACTGTTTATTACCTCTAAAGCGCTTGGATTTTCATTATCAATACTGTCACCTTTTTTATCAAAAGTTTTGTTAGTAGGTACACCGTTTACGTGACGAAAGACAAGAATAATAAGAATTATGTGCAACAAAGTATATATAAGACTAAGACCGATAAAGAGGTCATATATCATCATCATAAGGTCGTCAATCCTATAACTGAATGGACAGACCTCCACTCTTTCATATCCTGAGTTAATCTTCCCATTCCTAAAACTAGAACATCCCATATCCTTAACTATTTGCGAACAATAATCTAATCTAGGTCTACCACTACTCCTCTTAACTCCTGTTTGTGCCTCTAATATGTCTCTGACTAGACCTTCCCGAGATAAAAATGTTCAGTCTCTCAGAGTCTCTGAAAACGAGGCTCGAGTCTCCGTCTCTGATCGAGTCTCTCTGGTGTCGCTGAGAGAGACTGTCAAAAAAACTGTTTAGCGTCTCTAAATGAGAGACTGGAATCTCTCAATAAGTGGTGTCTCGATAGACATGGTTAAAATTTTCTAAGTTCAACATATTTCAGAGATTCCAGTCTTTCTACGAAAGACTCGAGTTTCTCAATTTTTCAGTTTTATTCATTCAGCCTCTCTGTGAGAGACTCGAATCTTTGAATTAACAATTTTATCGTTCGAGTCTCTCATACAGAGGTTGTGAGAGATCCATAAAAACACCTAGGCAGTAACTGAGAGACGCTCTCAGAGACACTGAATGACTCTAGAAGACTCTGAGAGATTGGAGAGAAACTGAAAATTTTTATCTAGGGTTTATGCCTGAGAAGATGTCCTACCAATCTATCTCGCCTATTTTTTATTGATTTTCATAGAGTCCTCTGTTCTCCTATACTTTTTAATACTTCTTCATTTCTAACCTTAGCTATCTACGGTATCCTCATCATTTGCCGGTAACACCACAGCGCCGCGCTCCAAACATACACCGTTAACAGTCTTTTTCAAATTTCTAAATTAACAGTTTGTGAGCATAGACGAAGTGGAAGAGGTCATATATGTATGATTTAATAGAGACCAGGTTACATTGTACGAGTCGTTACAACTGCAACTCGAATGAAACGTTTTGCTATAATGTTTGCATTCAGGCATTTATAAGGATCATCATAGGCCCATACCTCCAAAGTTTGGTTAGACAGGTACCTTCACTTCTTTATTTCCATACAACTAGTTCCTTAACTATTATCTGTTCTTGGGTCCTTTTTGCTCCTCTTCGCTTCTTAAATGTCTCCATCTAGCCCTTCTAGTCTCAGAATGTGTCCTACCATTCTACTCTCCCTTTTTCCTTGGTGACTTTGTCCACAATTCGAGCTCGTGCAGAGCCAGGCTTCAAATATACTATACACTTCAACAGTCGTTTTCGAATTTCTGAATAAATTGTCAGTTAAAGTATAATACACCTTGAATAGTTCCGTAATATAAGTGTTGTATACGTATGTATACATAAACCACCATTTATGTTTCGTAAAAAACTAGGTACTAAGTACCGAAGAGTCTTGAAGTTTTGATCGAGATTTTAATCGGTAAGCTTTTACCTTGAAGGAGCTCATAAACTCAACGAAACGCAACTGTCTGTAAAATATTTAGAGATTTTGAATTAAGTATACAGGTAAGAGTTTACAAAAGTTATTCTATTGATTAGATTCGTTTGAACAACTACCATTGAAAATGTCTCCTTTTTTGCCAATTTCCGGAACTCTTCATCTCGAATGTTTATTTTTGCTTGGATGATTGCAAGTCCGGACGAAAATTTTTCGTTTCATCAGTTTTCACGTTGAACAAATATCGCGATTGCTTTAACCCTGACTGTTCGATATTCGATTCAATATTTGAGGACTCCGCATTTGGCCTAATAATGTCTTGGCGTCAACGAGAGAGAACGCTCCAGCGGACTTCTGATTGGCTGGTAAACACCTCGCTCCGTTTGTAACCATTCAATGCCGCCGCTTTGATTCGCAACGGAGCGGCAGGCAAGTCGAAGAACTGCCGAAACAGTTGGCATGACTGCTTCTCTCAACTACCACATGAAACAGTTTCACGCTTTCCAAAAGGCGTTTTTTATCATCCCAAGTTTTGTAAGAAAATCGTTCACTGTTTCAAAGTCTAATTCGAAACGTGCTATTTGTAGAATAAAAAGAGCTTTCCAAAAATAAATAAACTCGCAGTGGAAAGGAAATTGAAGAACGAAATGGAAACGTTGCCAACTTTTATAAAATTAAAAATGCATTCATGGAAGTGACCAATAAACGATCCAACAAAAAAAATCGTTGAGTGGGGGAATACCCTGCTCAGTTTTTCTAGTAGGCCGGTCTTCCTGCCTGATAGTTATTTTTTGTCATGTTAGCGGGGAAAGCTCATTTTGCGTGCTATGAAATAGGGAAGAAATGGCCTCTTTTCAGCCGTGTTTTAGTCGGGAGGCAATGAAATTAGACTTTTCAGCGCATGCGCTGAAGTTTATGGGCATGCGCAGAAATCAGTTGTTCAATGATAATATCTTTCTAACCTCTAAATCATTTTAGAAAATACGACAAATGGCGCTGTAAACGCCATCTGTAGTACAGTACTACAATTTAGGATTACGTATGCTTCAACAAGGTCCATTTACGAGGGTGGATTGATAAGTTTCCGGCCTGACCAAGAAAAACAAGGTTTTTAAAAAATTTTTTTTTTTATTTCTCAACATAATCTCCTCCAAGGCTGATACATTTCTCATAGCGGTGTTCCAGTCTATTAATGCCATCTCTATAGACTGATTCGTCAAGCTCCTCAAAATAACCATTTACAGCTTCGATTACTTC